CGATAATCTCTCCAAATTCTCCCGTTGTTTGCATTCACAATTGAAGAGCAAACATTGTCTCGCTAGTTTAATTGCAATCGTCGCCGATTAATATCGTTTATCAATTACTGCCGCTTATCGACGATCATTGCCGTTTTATTGACCGTCGCATCCAAACGTTTTAGCGGCAACATACCGACGCGCAGTAAATCGCTGTCAAAATTGCCGGTAACAAAGTCACCGGCAGCGAATCACCGGTAACGTACCACCTGGCAGTTTCCCGCCACAACGAGCCATGTGACACTGACCGAAGACGGTGTGAAACAAGAAGACACGCTAAATAACCTAACGGTTGACGGCGTTCCCGCAGAGGGAAAATACAAAAAAAGAAGACACTGACCGAACGGACCGAACGATTCAAAGTGTTTTGTCATCACGATTTAAACGGTACCAGTCAACAGCGGACTCGACAACGAAGTACACGCTCGTGCGGGTCGACGGAATCACAAAGTTCGTCGAAGCGGGACAGGACGAGGCGAGACTGGAATTTATTCATGTGGCAACCGGCGAGGAAACGGCGGCGCTTCCCGGGACGCGGGAGGGTTTTGTTGTCCAAAACGTAATGCGTGATTGTGTAATACGGACGCGGCGCCTCAGGGCGACATTCGCACACTTGTTCGCGCCCGTTCGCATAAGTATCGGGCGCGTTCCCATTTCCCCTCAGTACTGCACGCTATTACCGGCATTCGTCTTCTGCGAAAGCCATTTCCTCCAAGTGAAACCGCAGTATCCCTCGCAATAGCACAGCAGTTATTCTTTTATAGACGCAGCCGTCCACACCTTTTCCTTTGATACCGAATGCTCGAGACTATTGGGAGCGTTGCCAGCAGCACTGAGAGGAAATGGGGAGCACGCGTTGTTCTTCGCTACCGTTGCCGCAGCGGCTGGAAATGAGTGCTGACGATTGTATGTTTACAGCACGCCGGAGAATGACATGATGGCGTTCATCGACGACGACTCGCTGATGGACGAGCACAACAGGCGCGACGAGTGCCGGGCGCTCTCGCCGTCCATGTCTCTGCGGCCGCCTCATCTGCAGAATGGCTGGGGCAGCTCTCTGGGACAACGGATCAAGCAACAGCAGCAACAACAGCAGCAACAGCAGCAGCAGCAGTCGTCGAGGAAGCCGGACGTCCAAGTGGCGAATCCCAACGTGAATAATAATAACAACAATAACAACAGCAACAATGCCAATGCAGGTAACGGATGATCAGTATTCAGGCTGTACTCGACGCGAGAACGCGAGTGGAATGAAGGTGGGCCTCTTGTTTCAGTGTTGGAAGGTACGGCGGGTCAAGGTTCGCCGTTGCGTTCAGGCCTAAATCTGCAGCTGCGCTCGCACGCTTCCCCGAAACTTCCAATACAGGAGTGCCCGATGTGCCCCTACAGTTCCGACAGTCCGCTGAGGCTGGAAGAGCATATCAATCGCCAACACTTTGATCTCACCTCGCCGTCCTTCCCGCCGGAGTCACCGCCGTCGCGGGACGAGGTCTTCAACTGCCCCCTTTGCGTTACGTCTTTTCCGAATTCTTCTGACCTTGAGTTACACGTCAATATCGAGCACAAAGATATACTTAGGTACGGCGCGTCTGCTAACTACGATGTTTAAGATAGGTGAATTGATGTCTCGGTTATGCGCAATGAATGTCCAACGATGAATTTATTTTCGTTAGTCCTGCAAACGGAACCAGTTCACAATCCGATACGGCTACTGTCGGTAGCGACTCGACGCCTGCCTGTCCAGTATGTCTTAGTACATTATTTAAAAATAATGACGACCTAATGGCACACATCGAAGAACACTTCAATAAGAAGAGCACGCCGTCGCCCGTTACGCCGGACGTGTCGACCGATCGTCTGCTAGCGAGGGACATAGACAGGAGAGAAAAGGAAGTGAGAAAGCTGCGCGAACAGCGCGAATTCGAGATGCTGAGGGCGCAGTACGGCATGGACAATCAGGGTAACTTTAGAGAACAAAGCGTCACCAATATGCAGCGGGCTGTGTACGCGGGCGAAATGACGGTGGCCGATTTCTTCGAGAGGCAAATCGAGCTGAGAGTCGCCGAGAGCAGCGGCATCGACGACGGCAGCTCTTGTACCCGCGGTAAGCGCGACTTGAAGTATCCTGTGTGCAAAGAGAGTCCGGTCTTATCCAAGAATCGTCCCGGCATTATTTATTCCCTTGCAGGGCTGGTCCCGAAAGTACGAGCCATTAGTCAGGCTTGCAGTAACATAGTGAATACCTGGATGTGTTCCACTGTGGACCATTACGCATCGACGTACGGCGATAAGGGCTGGGGCTGTGGTTACAGAAACATGCAGATGCTAATCTCGTCTCTCTTGCAGCACACAGGATACAACGATTTAGTTTACAAAGCATGGAGTTCCGGGGCCGGCGGAGCCAACAGCTCGACGGAGAACCCCCAGCGCAGCTCCATGCCGTCGATCTCGAGATTACAGAAGATGATCGAATGGGCGTGGGCGCAGGGCTTTGATATTCAGGGCGCGGAGCAGCTCGGCGGTAAACTCGTTAACACTAGGAAGTGGATCGGCGCCACGGAGGTATTCACGCTGCTGTCTAGTTTGAGGATAAAGTAAGTTCCACGATCGCGATCGGTCGCCAAGTCATACGACGCACACTTTTCTCTCCCTGACTTCGTACAGGTGCCAGCTGGTGGACTTTCACAGACCTACCAGCGCGGACGGCGGCCACCCCGAGTTGTTTAATTGGGTCCTGCAATACTTTCAACGATGCGAGGAGTTCAAGCCGCCCCTTTATCTTCAACATCAAGGTGAACATCTTCTTTTCGCGTGTACTTTTCGGAAGTTGAAGCCAGACTAATGCAGTCGACGTTAATACGTTCAGGGCACAGCAGAACGATCATGGGTGTGGAACAGCTGAGGGACGGTTCGATAACCATGCTGGTGCTGGATCCGAGTCATAGCCCGGCGCAAATGGCGTATTTCAATAGCACGAGCAGCGCACCCGGCGCAATGAGGCTCGTGCGGAAGTCCACCGCGGCAATGAAGGCCAGACAGTACCAAGTTGTGGCTGTAACCGGCACCATGGATACAGAAGCGCAGTATCAGGTAATATAGGCGTCCCTAAGTAGCCTCTTTATTTATTAATAGCGCGCTCTTTCTTTTTCAGCAAAGTAAAGTATTACGATCAATGCGAGTTCCTCAAGACAGGTGAGAATTACTGGTCCGAGAAATGATCAAGCCTCGGGCAAAGACTATAGACTACTGCCTCAAACCAATCTTATCCGACATCCTTGAAGTTACGTGACCGCGATGTCCTTATGTTCTTCTATCGCTAGCAGACTTATTCCATTGTAGCATATTATAAATAGTTGCAGATCGTATTATTTAACAATATATTCTTGCATCTCTCTAGCCGTTAACGATGGACTGACTTCTTGAATCGTTGTGCCCGCGCGGAGCCTGTGACGCGGTGAACAATTTTACGGAGCTATTATTTAAATATCAAAAGATGGCTCTTCGCCGCGTCGCTCTGAACGAGTACGTAATTCTTTTGCCGAACGGAGAAAGTCCTTAATCTTAAATAAAAATCCTGTCGTACTACGTGCGCGTAAATTTCTGCGAAGAGAATTATCAGATCGAAACGGGGCGAAAGGCCCCGTGGGAAGATAGCGTTGAAACGAGCGTCATTTCTTGTCCAAAACGTTCTGCTCAATTTTCGTCGCACCGAACAGGCTGTGCTAACCCTTAGTCGACCAATCGTCTTGTACCGATCGGTTGCACCATCGAAAAAGCCGTGGCAGAGCTTGGAAAACGAGACTTTTTCGTAGCTGTGATGCTGTTATCAATACGACGCTAATCACTCATACGTCTGACAAGCACACTCTTGGAAACGCTCCAGAATCAACACGGTGTTCCCAGCACTCGTCTCGTTCTACATCCTACAATCTGTGACAAAGGTTTCCATCAAAGCGTTGTCGACTTTTAGTCAATATAAAAAGTGCCGAGAGCCGTACGGTATATACCCTACGACAAATTTTATATAACAATAACGAAAGATATTCTTTGACGCATTTTGATTGCTAAAACGCTTATATGAAAGAATCTGGAGTGTCTGCAAAAGTGACCAAAAAAAATCGCATTTTCATATAAAATATTATATATATTATATACTATATATACACACAAACACGCATACACACTCACACGGACACACACACACACACATACACATATAGTACACATCTGCACACTCTTCGTTATATCGCATGTCACTTGCCCACACATGAAGTACAACTACTTTCATATTAATTACAAATATTCTATTTAATTATCCAATCGACTCTAGGCTACTTATGTCATAGCTCGTAAGTCCAATGCAATGCTGTGAACGAGAAGATAGATGAAAAAAAAAGAAGTCCATTTAACTTGTTATTTCTATTATACACTTGACGATTATGTGAGTTAGTGAATTCTTATTATTACTCTCTTATCATATTTCATAAATTGTACTGATATATCTAAGATCTATTTATTATAGTTAAAATTATATTTGCGATTATTCTATGAGGACGCGACGCCCCGCGAGAACGTCGCGCCGTTGTTTTATATAGCTTCGGTATTTACGGTGCACCAGTCAAATGTAAGTTTGTCTTTCAGCCCAGTAGGACCACGTTGCAATAACATTGACTGGCTGTAAAAACTGTCGAAGAAAAACGATAAATTACAACTAATAGTACTGGAAATTTCGCCATATACATATATATATATCTCGATTTAAGAATCTGTTCATTATTTGGAGTGTTCAGGGAAACCAAGCTGTGGAATTGTTATGCAAGAGTAAAAACCTTTGCATTAGCCACACATCAAATTAAAATATATGCTTTGTTAGAATTCCCAACATGGCTTTACTCTCCAATTTCTCTTCCCGTTCTAATGGATACAAACGCTGGAAGGGATATTCAGATCGATAAATCGTGTTGAAAAGATGAGTACGATTTTTATTTCTTACGTATAGTTACATCACAATGGACTACCTCACGTTCCCCGATCGTATTCGAAATAAAACCAAGTTGTTCGGAGTAGATCCTTCTGTCACTTCGCAAACATAATACTTTGTTCTTTACAAAACCTATCAACGAAATTATTTACAAAGCATATACATATCAACATGTAAATACGCTTATAACCTGAGACTTCTAAGATCGTTTGCAGAGTACACTCTCTGCGATGTGACTTTGGCGTCGAGATTTAAAACCCTCCTACAGTTTATATATTGAATCCCATTGATCGCATACAAGCCTTGTGCGCTTCTATGAGGTCGCCGCACTTTTCCTCGCCATTTTCTATGATGCTGAAAAAATTATAATTAAAAATTAGACAGCTTTATTGTTGACAATCTTCTGTGTATAGAACAATGCTTTGTATACGAAAGACTAAAGCTTCTTTTGGTTAATGTTAAAACACAGCCCTGAAACAGAATATACGCAACTATCTGAACGGTTGTGTGTATAAGTGTTGAAAAGTTTCGTGTGCACGAGTCACGAGACAGCAGAATTTCTAACCTATAACCGTATATCGGCAGACGTGATTTGTTTTACGCACCATGCGTCTCTGGCCTTCTTAGTTTCAGGACAGGCGCAGCAAGGTTTCAATTTCTTCTTCTCCTCCGGCTTCGCTTCTACTTTCGTCGCAGCGTTACCCATTTTTACTAACTGTAAGAAAAAGGTTTCGGCCTGATATTCCGTAGTATCACGCGATACCCGGGAAAAACTTCAGCCAACGAGCCTCAGGCACACGCACCCCCTGAGAAAATAGGTATCTGTTCTTTTTAGCTGAACCGCCTGCACTAGTTCAGAGTTTGTCTTCTTCCTTCTACCAGAGAGAAACCTGAGAGCGGCTGATTGTGAGAGCGGCCATCCCGGCGTTTTGCCTGTTACCGTTTTCGCTCGACTGATTCCAGCGCTTTACGCCCATTTTCATTTTTGGAACTATATGGCAAAGTCCCAAGGAGAACAGAAAGTCAAAATAATGTCAATTTGCCATCAAATTGACCAAATTTACGTCATTTTTTGGTCATGATTAAAAATCTTAATTTCAGATGACTTAAAAATGACTTTATATTGACTTCTTAAAAAAAAAATTTTTTTCTTAATATTTAGAAAATGTGATACGTTTCTTGACTGTATAAATGCTTATTATTATAAAAATGTATAATATAAAAAGTAGTCATAAAAAGGTCTTGATTTGACTAACAATAATCCCAATATCATCAACAAATTACGCCAAATATAACAATTGGATATTTATATATGTATAACGCGTATCTTTCTTCTACCGTAACCATTCTGTAAATACATCTCATTCGGGTAATAACGTATCGACAGCACCGATGAAAAGAATAGCAACTGTTTAGAAATTTAGATATATACACGTAAATTGTAGTTTAATTTTATAAGTTTAAACAATTTTTATACATATTAAATAGCTAAAACTTATATGTACATATTTAAATCGTAAGAATTATAATATATTAATATATTTCTAATAATTATGAGCAGAATTCCCGCCAAGATTTTTGGTTCTTCTTAGAAAGCTTTATAATATAAAACATTACCGAAGTATTACATTAAGCAATACGATATATAGCAGAAAATTGCATAAACACATCAATAAACGTATTATAATTGGTACAGGGTGAGGCAATAACTTTATCTATTTCGAATATCCCATACAGCACAAAAACCTTTCAGAAATATTTCAGAAATATTTCATGTGATAGATTGAAACGTTTCATAAACATTGCAAAATGTTTCTGCAATAGCTCTGAGACAGCTCTACAACAGTAAAATGTCCGCGATTCTTACACTTGAAAGCTTATAT